GATACATTATTCCCATTCCTGCCGCTAAGAAGAAAGCATGTAATGGCAGTTAGAGATTCAAAGACCTCGTGTTTCATGGATGTACATTTTCCGCATTATGGACACTTTGGCAATTGCTGTTTGACAGCACAACAAATTATTAGCCCGTCTATAGAGCACAGGAGTGAAATGCTGTCTTGTCTTGCTGGCGATGGCTCTCAAACATACTCTATCAAATTAGTGGCTTCATTTGAGGTTTTCTGTGTCCACTCTATTTGCAGATTCACTGTGCTGGGAACAAATCCTGTTGCTTTTCAATTTTCTAATGGTAAGATGCTGCCAAATACACATCCTGTTCTGGAGCTGCAAAACAGCACTTAATGCAGAAATACACAGCTGCTCATCAATAAAATAGAAAACATACGAGCAGGAAATTAGACCCTCCGCGGCCATTAATTAATTAAAAGAAGCCAGCTGCGCATATGCAAATGGATTCCGAACCTGTGTACAGCCTCCGTATAGTTCAGCTACATGTAAATTGTGCTTTAGTTCTCTTTATAAAGGTGACAGAATATTTATTCTGTGTTCGAGTGACAGGATTTCATACACTTTACTTTGATTAAAAAGTGATTATATTCTGCAGCAACTTTGTCATAGTCATAATCTGTTGTGGCTTTAACTCGGTCCCTCAATTTATCTTCTGATTGGAACTTAGTTGATGTTTCTCGAACAGCTATAATTGGATATGCCTCGTGTGCCAAAGTGTGCGCATGCAAAACTGTCATGATTTGGCACAGCCGCCTATCAGAAGCATGCAGTGTTTGTATTCTTACACAGCCACCTCCACCAAAGCAGTTACAAGTTTAACTTTTTTTTTTCTTAACACGCAACAGGAAAAGCGAGAACATCCAAAGGTGGAGAACGCCACGCTGCGGTGCAGTGACATGAATTGAGCATCACTATGTGACATTTCAAAAAAAAGTTTAAGAAGAAAAAAAAAAAAGCATTGTAATGCATTAAAATGCCAACGCTGACAGTAGCCTGCATGGTAAAAACTACATTTTACGGTGAGGGCTAGTGTGAACCTAGCCTTAAAGTGACCACTTCCATTGGTGGTCAGTGTAGGCAGGAGATCAATCTGCCACTACTTTCTGAGGATACATTTACACCAGCTTCTGTTACAATGCATAGGCTGCTATGTGGTGGGAGTGACAGTACTGATCACAGCACGTCATACTGTTCACTTTTTTTTTTCCAATTAACTTAATTGAAATGTAATAGTTACATTTCATTTATTTTTCTGTTGGCGGTGGATAAATCACACTGCGATGGAAAAAAAGTAATACCAACATGGCGGTGTAAACCGGCCAGGTAGGAGACCAGGCATTTTCCTGGTCTTGCAGTGCAACTGTGCTGAACTGTCCCCCCAATGCAGTATTGCTGCACCTGGTGTGAATCTACTCTGAAGGAACCTCTAGCATCCTCTAGATTCTAGAGTCTAGAAGAACCCCAGGGCTCCACGGACATTGGTTAAGAAATACTGAACTAAAATGCCAGGAACCATACATATGTTCAGAAAATATTGGCAGAAAACATCGTAAATCTTTGTTTTATCTGCATTGATTTGTTAGCGTCTTATTGAAAGGGCACATATTTCCTAATAATGAAATACAATAAGCATCTAACAGCTCAAAGAAATCTCACCTAATTCTTCTCTGTGTTTTCTCCTGGAAATCCCGTTATTCCTCTTGATTTCTCTAGAGAGGGTATCTTGAAGCCCCACTAATTGTCCCTGTTGTTTATCTGCAGAGTACGGCTTGCAGATCTCCCTTTCTCCGTGTTGTCTTAGTGAGGCTGTCTCCATAGCACTTTACACACTAATCATAACAACCCGTCCTACAGTGATGAGACCAAGTGGGAGTGAAACAGCTTGTCTCTGGATCACAAATATGTGCTCTACTCTTAGAATCCCTGAGGGTGAAGTATTGTCTTACAGTCTTATGTGTAATGATATTTATCTTTGGTCATATTTATGTATCTGCTGTAGAATAATGTTCAGTACACCAAAAGAGCATAATTACACTTCCCTCATCTATTCATATCAACTTGAAGTGCAAAAAAAATTCCCATCAGCATGTTGAAGCATGTATATTAGTTAGAACCAAGTACTTCACATCAGTACATCAGTTCAGCGACCATGGTGCTCAAGATCCTAGGGTGCTCTGGTGTGTATGTGGTGACCAAGCTTCTTGCCAAAAGCCTCCCAGGGGCCCATCACTGTAATTTTCTGCTCTTCATTGTTGAGGCTATGCAGATTGGAAAGGGCAGGATCAGCTTCTCAATCCAGAAAGTTGGGTCAACCTTGGATTTGAACTAAACACAAATATGCCTAGTTCCCTATTTGGAGGGGCCATATGTCCTTCTTTTTTTTTTTTTTTTTCTCTATAACTCTTTAAAAATGCACCATTTTACTCCTCCTAGAGTGGTTTGAACCTTTCAATTAAATTATGGATATTAACCACTTGCCTACTGAGCACTTCCACCCCCTTCCTGCCTAGGCCAATTGCGTGGTCATGCAACACTGTTCCCAAATGAAATTTTTTTTCATTTTTGTTAGACAGAGCTTTCTTTTGCTGGTATTTAATTACCACTGAGTTTTTTTTTTTTTGTTTTTTTTTTAAAGAAATTTTTTTGTTTGTTTCTGTTATGCTATTTTGCAAACAGATAATTTTTCTCCTACAGTGATCTGCACTGATGGGCTCTGAAATACCGCACTGATGGGCTCTGAAATACCGCACTGATGGGCTCTGAAATACCGCACTGATGGGCTCTACCGCACTGAAATACCGCACTGATGGGCTCTGAAATACCGCACTGATGGGCTTCTGAAATACCGCACTGATGGGCTCTGATATACCGCACTGATGGGCTCTGATATACCGCACTGATGGGCTCTGATATACCGCACTGATGGGCTCTGATATACCGCACATATACCGCTGATGGGCTCTGGCGCACTGATGGGCTCTGATATACCGCACTGGTGGGCTCTGATATACCGCACTGATGGGCTCTGATATACCGCACTGATGGGCTCTGATATACCGCACTGATGGGCTCTGATATACCGCACTGATGGGCTCTGATATACCGCACTGATGGGCTCTGATATACCGCACTGATGGGCTCTGATATACCGCACTGATGGGCTCTGATATACCGCACTGATGGGCTCTGATATACCGCACTGATGGGCTCGATATACCGCACTGATGGGATACCGCACTGATGGGCTCTGATATACCGCACTGATGGGCTCTGATATACCGCACTGATGGGCTCTGATATACCGCACTGATGGGCTCTGATATACCGCACTGATGGCATTGACTAGGAGGTACTGATGGATACTGTTGGGGGCAGCACTAATGTCCTCTTTCACAGTTGGCTGTGAAGTGCAGCTGATAACCAGGAACTGTGTTTACATTGTGATCAGCTGTGTCATTGGACACCGTTGATCACGTGGTAAAGGGCTGCTGTGATTGGCCCTTTTTACCGTGATCTGTGTTCAGCTGTGTCCAGTGGCTATAGCCCGGTCATCAAGTGGTTAATTTGAAAAGCTATATAGGGAAAATAGTGGTGAGAAAAGGCACTTGATGGTTGACCCAATATTCTTTTTTTTTTTTTTATATTTTATGCAAATTCCTTTATGGTCCATGTATTTGGGGGTCTTGTAGGGTTATGTTCTTCCCTACATACTTTTTGCTGTAAGATGCCCCCCCTTCATCTTAGGGGATATGACATGCAGGCACATTTGCATTCAAGTTGTACTTTCCCATTCACACAATATTCACATGCATATACATTTCAAATGATTTGAGGGAGAAGCTGAAATTAAAGTGATACTAAACTCATACGGTTTTTTCATTTACATTATCTGTTCTCTTTCTGTTTATGGATAATGACACTGTAATTATTTTAATTTAAAAAAAAAAAAAAAAAACCTTTTTCCATTGTGATATTCAGCTGATGCATGACCCAGCTCGTTCCCAGCCTGTCTGCAGGGAAACGGTGGCAGGAGGAGCTTCTATTCCTCTGCTGCTGGTCACATGTTCAAAATGGGGAAAAAAACAGCCTTTGGGATACAGAGTGAAAATAAATATCAATAAACTGGCTTAAATGGTCATACATATATGTATCTGAAATGAAATCTTTATTTTTTGGCAATAACATGGTGTGGGCGCATTTCTGTCAGTCACAGGCTGTGTCACACCCCTCCAGCCTGTGTCTTAAAATAACAGGGAGGTAAAGCCTCCATCAGTCAAGGTGTAACATCCCACCCCCATTGTGTTTAGGTGGTTAGTGAGCATGAAAGAGGAGGGAGGAAGTAGACTCTTTACTACTGTGTATACGCCCACATGTCTGACTCTATAGTCACATCGGCTGCTAAGATGTGATAGGGAGAAAATGCTCAGTATAGAAACTCACTGAAAACTGAGCATGTGCACTTGCTGTGCAAAATCTCCAGCTGCATTGGGGACAAGGACAGAAGAGGGAGATAAAGAACAGCAGGGTCGATCAGTTTGTTTGCTGAATACAGAAAATGAATCCCATAGTGAATGAGTGAGTATGAACAGCATGCAATACAGCATGTATTGTTAGTTTTTTTTTATGATGGGTTTAATGACACTTTATCAGTATGTGTTTTTTGGTTCAAAGAGAAAAAAAGAGCAGCCAGAGAACATTTTCACAAAGTGAACATACAGACTCCATGTAGATAGAGCCCCTAGTGGCTTGAACTGAGAGAAACGTGGAGACAGTCAATTCTGTCCCCTTGCTGAAAATGCTAGTTTCCATGCCGTTTTGCTGATCATTGACTTTATATTACATATTCAAGTCACTGACCTGGAGTAAGCATGTGGCAAGCAAGTCAAGTATTTTGCTTTAATTTATTATTTATAGATGATTCATGTGAATTATTTTAATTGTTTTCCAGATTTTTTGTCTGAAGAAGGCTCAGCATGGGAAAGCAGAACAGCAAACTGCGACCCGAGGTTCTACAAGATCTACGGGAAAACACAGAATTCACCGACCATGAGCTGCAGGAGTGGTACAAGGGCTTTCTGAAGGATTGCCCCACCGGACATCTCACCGTAGAAGAGTTCAAGAAGATCTATGCGAACTTCTTTCCCTACGGTGATGCCTCCAAGTTTGCAGAGCATGTATTTCGTACCTTTGACACAAACGGAGATGGGACGATTGACTTTCGGGAATTTATAATTGCGTTAAGTGTCACATCTCGGGGGAAACTAGAACAGAAGCTGAAGTGGGCATTTAGTATGTACGACTTAGATGGAAATGGATATATAAGTCGTGGAGAGATGTTAGAAATTGTTCAGGTAAGAGCAACTAAATGATCAAATTCAGGCTAAATCAAAGAGGTTGTCTGTGAAAAGTCTTTTTTTTTACATTCCGGACTGCTTAGTGTTGCACTCTCCTAGTTCCTAAAGTAATCATGTCATCCATTGTACTTTTTTTTTTTTTTTTCTTTTCATGGAAGTTCTGCCTAAGAACAGTCCTTGCTATTACAATTGTTAACTAGAAAAAAGATCTAATTTCCCTCTGTAATAGGAACCTGACATCCTAACAGCACCAAGCATTTCCAAGTACCACCTTTTTCAGTGAGAAAGTCTTTGTTGCAAATCCGTGCAGAATAGCAGTTCATGGGGTCTAGTTTCCACCAATACTGCCATATAGGAAACTCAGTTGCAAAGAGATATTGAAAGCTGGGGGTTATTCAGCTGTCCTTTCTCTACCCGCAACTGAAGCCATATTTTTGGATGAACTAACCCTTTAAAGTCAGCACAGGCTCATATATATATGTATATATATATATATATATATATATATATATATATATATATATACCGTATACACCGTTTTCCGGCGTATAAGACGACTTTTTACCCCTTGAAAATCTTCTCAAATGTGGGGGTCGTCTTATACGCCGGTAACGGCATGCTGACACTTTTTAGGGGACACTAAGTACAGGGGTGGGCAGGGGCTGCTGTCTCTTACCTGGCTCCGGTCCCACGACGATCCGGTCCAGGAAGTGCGGCTGCTCCTTCCTTCGGTTCGTCCACTGGATGTTCGCGCGGCTGCTCGGCTCCGCCTCCTCACCGGTGATTGGCCACCAGAACTGTAGCTCAGGAAAGGCACACAGGCGGCCAATCACCGGCGAGGAGGCGGAGCTGAGCGGCCCCGCGAAAATCGAGTGGAGATGCAGGTAAGTGTGCCGTGCTTAGGTGCTGCTGCAACCACATATGCTGGCTGCAGCAGCACCGTACTGGAACAGGGGTCAGCAAGTGTCAGTGGGATTAATAGTGCCCCATCATTGGTGTCACTGATACCAATGATGGGGCATTATTCCTCCCACTGACACCGATATGGCACTTTTCCTCCCCCCCACTGACACCAACGATGGGGCACTATTCCTCCCCCCCCCCCCCCCCCACTGACACCAACGATTGGGCACTATTCCCCCCCCCCCCCCCCACTGACACCAATGATGAGGGGCACTATTCCTCCCCCTCACTGACACCAACAAGGGGGTACTATTCCTCCCACTGACACCAAAGATGGGGCACTATTCCACTGACACCAATGATGGGGTGCTATTCCCCCCCAATGATACTAATGATGGGGCACTATTCCTGCCACTGATACCAATGATGGGGCACTATTCCTCCCACTGACACCAATGATGGGACACTATTCCTCCCACTGATACCAATGATGGGACACTATTCCTCCCACTGATACCAATGATGGGGCACTATTCCTCCCACTGATACCAATGATGGGACACTATTCATTCCACTGACACCAATGATGGGGCACTATTCCTGCCACTGATACTAATGATGTGGCACTATTCCTCCCATTAAAACCAATGATGGGGCACTATTCCTCCCACTAATACCAATGATGGGACACTATTCCTCCCACTGACACCAATGATGGGGCACTATTCCCCCCACTGATACCAGTGATGGGGCACTATTCCCCCCACTAATACCAATGATGGGCACTATTACTCCCACTGACACCAATGATGGGGCACTATTCCTGCCACTGACGCCAATGATGGGGCACTATTCCTCCCCACTGACACCAATGATGGGGCACTATTCCTCCCACTGACACCAATGATGGGGCACTATTCCCCCCACTGATACCAATGATGGGGCACTATTCCCCCCACTAATACCAATGATGGGGCACTATTCCTCCCACTGACACCAATGATGGGGCACGATTCTTCCCACTGGTGTGCACTGGAAGAGGGGTAGTTTTATACGGCGAGTATAGCCCAAACACTACATTTTAAACAGGAAAAGTAGGGGGTCGTCTTATACGCCGGAAAATACGGTGTGTATATATATATATATATATATATATATATATATATATATATATATATATATATATATATATATATATACACAGTCAGGTCCAGGTCCATAAATATTGGGACATCGACACAATTCTAACATTTTTGGCTCTATACACCACCACAATGGATTTGAAATGAAACAAACAAGATGTGCTTTAACTGCAGACTGTCAGCTTTAATTTGAGGGTATTTACATCCAAATCAAGTAAACGGTGTAGGAATTACAACAGTTTGCATATGTGCCTCCCACTTGTTAAGGGACCAAAAGTAATGGGACAGAATAATAATCATAAATCAAACTTTCACTTTTTAATACTTGGTTGCAAATCCTTTGCAGTCAATTACAGCCTGAAGTCTGGAACGCATAGACATCACCAGACGCTGGGTTTCATCCCTGGTGATGCTCTGCCAGGCCCCTACTGCAACTGTCTTCAGTTCCTGCTTGTTCTTGGGGCATTTTCCCTTCAGTTTTGTCTTCAGCAAGTGAAATGCATGCTCAATCGGATTCAGGTCAGGTGATTGACTTGGCCATTGCATAACATTCCACTTCTTTCCCTTAAACTCTTTGGTTGCTTTTGCAGTATGCTTTGGGTCATTGTCCATCTGCACTGTGAAGCGGCATCCAATGAGTTTGTGAAGCATTTGGCTGAATATGAGCAGATAATATTGCTCGAAACACTTCAGAATTCATCCTGCTGCTTTTGTCAGCAGTCACATCATCAATAAATACAAGAGAAGCAGTTCCATTGGCCGCCATACATGCCCACGCCATGACACTACCACCACCATGCTTCACTGATGAGGTGGTATGCTTAGGATCATGAGCAGTTCCTTTCCTTCTCCATACTCTCTCTTCCCATCACTCTGGTACAAGTTGATCTTGGTCTCATTTGTTCATAGGATGTTGTTCCAGAACTGTGAAGGCTTTTTTAGATGTCGTTTGGCAAACTCTAATCTGGCCTTCCTGTTTTTGAGGCTCACCAATGGTTTACATCTTGTGGTGAACCCTCTGTATTCACTCTGGTGAGGTCTTCTCTTGATTGTTGACTTTGACACACATACACCTACCTCCTGGAGAGTGTTCTTGATCTGGCCAACTGTTGTGAAGGGTGTTTTCTTCACCAGGGAAAGAATTCTTCGGTCATCCACCACAGTTGTTTTTCTTGGTCTTCTGGGTCTTTTGGTGTTGCTGAGCTCACCGGTGCGTTCCTTCTTTTTGAGAATGTTCCAAACAGTTGTTTTGGCCCACCTAATGTTTTTGCTATCTCTCTGATGGGTTTGTTTTGTTTTTTCAGCCTAATGATGGCTTGCTTCACTGATAGTAACAGTTCTTTGGATCTCATCTTGAGAGTTGACAGCAACAGATTCCAAATGCAAATAACACACTTGAAATGAACTCTGGACCTTTTATCTGCTAATTGTAATTGGGATAATGAGGGAATAACACACACCTGGCCATGGAACAGCCGAGAAGCCAATTGTTCCATTACTTTTGGTCCCTTAACAAGTGGGAGGCACATATGCAAACTGTTGTAATTCCTACACCGTTTACCTGATTTGACCTGATACCCTCAAATTAAAGCTGACAGTCTGCAGTTAAAGCACATCTTGTTTGTTTCATTTCAAATCCATTGTGGTGGTGTATAGAGCCAAAAATGTTAGAATTGTGTCGATGTCCCAATATTTATGGACCTGACTGTATATATATATATATATATACAAACGGGGTTAGCTCGGCAGCGGGTGTGTGTGACCCCCTGGATGGGTGCACAACACAAAAAGACAGGCACAGCACAACAACAGTGGAGGTGAAAACAAACAAGTGCAATTTATTTACAATATTTACAGAAAAATGGTAAACCAAAAAGAAACATCAAAATAAATCCTGGCCAACTTGGCTACTTACTGCAACAACAGCTTTCCTAGCTACCCACTAGGTACAGCCTGCTGCTATACCTAGTTGCTAATACTTGGAGGCTAGCCACACAGGCTTTGGTCTCTCTAAACACAGATAAGATGTCAGCTCCCCAGTCATTTCAGACACAGATCTGGTTCCAGGTTGGAGCAACTCTCTAAGCACTCTGGGAAGTTTTATACAGGTCTTAATGAGCCCACTACCTTCAGCTGGGCTCATTACCTCCGTGCAGAAGGACTCAGCACTTCCCTCTAGTGGAACAAATCCCCATAAAGCCTGAACCTCGGACAAATGTATCGTCCATCCAGGACGCAACCAGATGATTTCACCTGCCTACTGTCACTATATCTCTATATCTATATATATATATATATATATAACCTACCCACTGAAAGAAGACTGCATATTTTTACCATTTCAGTGGCCCATCCTTTGCAAGTATGGGACCCATCAGTTTGGTTAAAAACATGCTCCTCCTTTCGCTCACTGTGGTTCCTCCTGCTGGCTCATATGCTGTGTAGCAACATACAAATGAATCCACCATGAGCAGCGGGGGGGAGCTGGTATTTACACATGTAGAGTACAGGAATACTTGCAGTGTCTAGGTGAGTAGTGCAGTGGAGGCTTTTTGAGATGGAAGTTGTATGTGCAAGTGACCATGTGCTAATAGAGACAAATTAAAGTTGAACTCCAGGGAAATGGTTAAAGCTGAACTCCAGGGAAATGGTTAAAGCTGAACTCCAGGGAAATGGTTAAAGCTGAACTCCAGGGAAATGGTTAAAGCTGAACTCCAGGGTTTTAAAAATCCAGGGAAATGGTTAAAGTTGAACTCCAGGGAAATGGTTAAAGTTGAACTCCAGGGAAATGGTTAAAGTTGAACTCCAGGGAAATGGTTAAAGTTGAACTCAGGGAAATGGTTAAAGCTGAACTCCAGGGAAATGGTTAAAGCTGAACTCAGGGAAATGGTTAAAGTTGAACTCAAGCTTTGCTATTACTTTAAATATTTTGTTTGGGCCCAACAAACTATT